TGGGAAAAAATATTTGTAAATCATATATTTGATAAGGAGTTAATATCCAAAATTCTTAAAGGACTCTATACCCTACACACACAAAAAGACAGACCAATTAAAACATGAGCAAAAGCCAAATAAATTAAATACTTAGGCATAAATTCAATAAAATATTTACAATATCCCTATGAGTGCACCTACAAAGCTCTGATGAATCAGAGAGGAACTAAATAAATGGAGGGATATTCCATATTTATGGATAGGAAGACTCAGTGTGGTCAAGATGTCAGTTATTTCCACCTTGATCCATAGATTAAATGCCATCCCAGTCAAAACTGCATTAAATTATTTTGTGGGTTTTGACAAAATGCTTCTAGAGTTTATATGGGAAGGAAACGAACCTAGAGTAGTCAACAAAATATTGAAGGAGAAGAACAATGTCAGAGGACCGGACCAACTTGACATTAAGATTTATTGTAAAGCTGCAGTAATCAAGACAGTGTGGTATGAGTGAAAGGACAAATAAAGACATCAGTGGAACAGAATACAGAGCCCAGAAATAAACCCAAACAAATATATAGTTAACTTATCTTTGATGAAGGAGCAAACACAATACAATAGAGAAAAGATAATGTTTAATATATAATGCTACAACCAGAGATACCCACATGCAAGAGATAAAGAGGATCTAGGCACAGACCTTATATACCCTTCAAAAAATTAACTCACAGTAGATAATAGACCTAAATGTAAAATTTTAGTATAAGACTCCTAGAAGGTAATATGGAAGAACATCCAGATGGCCTTGGGTTTGGTGACAACTTTTTAGAAACAATGCAAAAGGCAAAATCTATTAAAAAAAATTGATCAGCTAGACTTTATTAAAAATAAAAACTGGCTGGGTGTGGTGACTCATGCCTGTAATCCCAGTACTGTAAGAGGCCAAGGTGGGTGGATCATGAGGTCAAGAGTTCGAGACCAGTCTGGCCAATATGGTGAAACTTTATCTATACTAAAAATATAAAAATTAGCCAGGTGTGGTAGCCATGCCTATAGCCTCAGCTATTCGGGAAGCTGAGGCAGAGGAATCACTTGAACCTGGGAGGCGGAGGTTGCAATGAGCTGCAATTGTGCCACTGCACTCCAGCCTGGGTGACAGAGTGAGACTCCATCTCTAAATAAATAAATAAATAAATAAAATAAAAACTGCTCTGCAAAAGACACTGTCAAGAGAATGAGAAGACAAGTACCAGGTAGGAGAAAATATTTATAAAAGACATATCTAATAAAGAACTGTTATTCAAAATACAAAAATAACTCAAAAATAGAAAATAAGAAAAACAACAATAAGAAAATAATCTGATTAAAAAATGGGCGAAAGATCTGAACTGCCTCCTCACCAAAGAAGAGGCAAATAAGGCATCACAAATGACTTTAACCATATAAATTTGACAAATGGCAAATAAGCATATAAAAAATCTCAACATCATGTCAATAGGCAGCTACAAATCAAAATAATGAGATGCCCATTAGAATGGTGAAAATCTCAAACACTGTCAACACCAAATGCTGGTGAGGATGTGGAGTAACATGAAGACTCATTCATTGCTGGTGGCAATGCAAGATGGTATAGCCACTTCAGCAGAGTTCGCCCATTTCTTACAAAATTAAACCTACTATATGATCAGTCAGTCACATTCCTTGATATTTGCCCAAACAAGTTGAAAGCTTACATTCACACAAAAACTTGCACATGAATACTTGGAGCAACTTTTTCATAATTGCCAAAACTTTGAAGCAATCAAGCTGTCCTCCGACAGATGAATGAATAAACAAACTGTGATGTATCCAGACAATGAAATACTATTCAGTGCTAAAAAGAAATGAGTTATTGAACCATGAAAAGACAGGGAAACTTACATGCATATTATTAAGTGAAGGAAGCCAATCTGAAATGACATTCACCTATATGACATTCTGGAAAAGGCAAAACTAGAAGACAATTATAAAATCAGTGGTTTCCAGAGGTTAGTGGGGAGGATGGGATCAATAGACAGAGCACAGAGGATTTTTAGGGCAGTGAAGCTAGTCTGTGTGAAACTATAATGGTGGATATAGATCATAATACTCTTTTCCAAACTCAAAAAAGTACAACACCAAGAGTGAATCTGTAAACTATGGACTTTGGTTGATACTGTTGTTTTCATGTAGCTTCATTCATCGTATTACTCCTGTGTTGGACTCTGATAGTCAGGGAGGCTGTGCATATGTGGGGGCAGGCAGTATATGGGAGCTTTCTGTACTTTCTGCTCACCTTTTCTGTGAACCTAAAGGTTTATATTTACAATGTCACTGACGACCATTGAGAGGCAGTCTAGTCTAGTGGGGACACGAAAGCCAGGATGTCTGCATGTGCGTTCAACTTTTCCACTTGTTCACTTCGGCAAGTCATTTATTTAAGCTTTCTGTGTTTTCTTTACTATAGATTAATTATACTTTCCTAATGGAGTTGCCATGAAAGTTAAATGAATTAATGTGTAAGAATTGATTGACATGGAGCACAGCATATAGTAAGTGCTCAATAAATGTCAGCAAACCAAAATTCTAATCTTATTTACCACCATCCTTCACATTAGCTACCCTTCAGCCTCACTCCTTCTGCTCCCCAAAATCCACTTCCAGCTCAGACTCCATGAACTCTTTTTCTCCCTGTATTTTATTATTGCCATTAACATTTGCTTTGCTAGTAACATATTGTTCTTTTCAAGGTAAACAAAATGAAGTGGTTTGGTCACTTTTCCCTCTTTCCCTTATTTATCCTTCATTCTTCACACAAGCCAACAAACACAGAATTTCTCTTAGCAGTAAAAGGAGGAATATGTGGCTGTGAAAACTCAGAAAAAGCATCTAGAAAAGTAACAATATCTATATTTGGTGTTAGGAAAATGGCCATGTTGATTTTGGTAACAGCTGACATATATTGAGTATCACTGTGTGCCTGGCACTGTGCTGAGGTGTTTTACATGTATTACCTAATTTAGTTCTTACATTAATTCCTGTGTTTTCCAACTTTTCAAAATTTTTACAATGAATATATTGCTTCTATAAGCTCAAAATTTTATATGCAAATGTATATTCGTAAAATAATAAATAGGCCCTGTTAAAAGTTAGCAGTTTCGTGATGATTCTAGGAAGTGCTCACTAATGAGATTTTGTTTAAAGGGTTAGGGATGCTTTACTTGGAAAGAAGGGGGATCCTGGAGTGCATTAGACATGCTAGCTATTTTTACATGTTTTAAAGATAGAAGAGGAATTTGACTTGGTTTCTTTGGCTTCAAAAAAAATGAGCTAGCACTGTTAGAAAATTCAAGGGAGGCAAGTTTTTGCTCAGCTTAAGAATGCCCTTTCAGGCCGGGCGCAGTGGCTCAAGCCTGTAATCCCAGCACTTTGGGAGGCCGAGGCGGGTGGATCACGAGATCAAGAGATCGAGACCATCCTGGTCAACATGGTGAAACCCTGTCTCTACTAAAAATACAAAAAAAAGTTAGCTGGGCATGGTGGCATGTGCCTGTAATCCCAGCTACTCAGGAGGCTGAGGCAGGAGAATTGCCTGAACCCGGTAGGCGGAGGTTGCGGAGAGCCGAGATCGCGCCATTGCGCTCCAGCTTGGGTAACAAGAGTGAAACTCCATCTCAAAAAAAAAAAAAAAAAAAAAAAAAAAAATGCCCTTTCAGGCAATTCTGTCCCAAATGGCAATTATCTAAATAAACAACCACTTACAGATTCATGCATCCAGGAGAAGACTGGACGAGGGGAAACCTAAAGTCATTTTCAATTCTGAAATTCTGTGTTTATATTAATGCAGACTAATCAGAGAGAAGAGCCAATTTTTGGTTGAAAAAAATGTGATTCTATGTCAACTTTGGGAAAAAACAATGTAGTATCTGGGTAAGTGAAGAATGATTATGAAGTTTATGGACGGCTTCAGTGGAATCGTAATATTGTTATCAGAAAATCAAAAGGCATGCAAAGCAAAAATAAAACGGCTCATTTATGTAGCAGTTAGAAAGATGACAGAACACATACCTGACTTAAATGCTATTCACTCCCTCCCTTAGGTTGGTCTGCACACCCCCTTCCTTTAATTTTCCTCATTCTCCCTATTACGATCTTTTGCATAATTGACATTCTCTTGCCATGAGATTCAGTCCTGTTCCTATCTGTGCCACACGTAAGGCACAGATAGAACAGGACTGAATCTCATGGCAAGATAATTCAAATGGGCTTCCTCGCCAATTTGAATTGCTTTATTCCGTAAAGTACAGACTTCTACTGGGGTTAACTTTGCTGAGCAACAGATCTACCCTAGATTCCGCTTCGCCTTCAGTCCCGTTTGCTGTAGGACACCAACCTCCCGCTCACTGTGTCACGGCTCTCACACAATAGGAGTCGTTGCAGCCCCAGCCCTTCTGTCCTCAGGTCTGATGGCTGCAAATCCTGGCAAAGCTGTGAAGCCCGCGCAGGGCACCTTCAGCAGCCTGGGCTGGGCCGGACGCAGGGCTCCAGCCAGAGGGCGCCAGCACCCACCAAGCGCAGAAGCCCGGGAGGACCATCCAGGGGCACCCCAACATTTCCTCAATTAGCCAGAGTTGGGGGGCTCAGATATCTGGTAAGAAGAGTCGTTCTCCCAGTACTCCCCAACCAGTTTGCTTCTCTGCCTGTTTCTTCTGGGTTGTCGCTGCCCCCTCACCCTCAGCTCTGCACGGGACCCCGAGGAGCCTCTCCCCGCTGAGGCCGGGACTCCTGTGGCCGGGCTCCCACGCCAGGTCCCCAGAGGCTCCTGCACCGTCCCGGGCACCTGAGGTCGAAAGGAGGGGTGCGGGGCTGAGGGCAGGGTGAGAGTCCCGGAGGTGCGGTGGGTGGGAGACCCGGGAGGGCGCGGGGTCAGGAGGGAGGAGATGAGAGGAGGCCAGACAGGGGCTTTCTGTTTCCCTGAGTCTGATTGGAGGTTGGCCGGATGAGTCGGAGCTGGGGACGCGCCCATCTCCGCGGCTCCTGCAAGAGCCGCCGGCTCAGCCCCTCCCTGGAGCCGCTTTGTCCCGGGTGACGGCGGCGGAGGTTGCGGGGAGGAGCGGGCAGCAGGCAGAGACCCACCGACCCACGGCCGCGCAGAGCGGGAGGCGGGGCGCGCCGCGCACGGCCCCACGCCCAGGCCCGCTGGCAGCGCGCCGCCCCCACGCGCTCGCACCGGCCGGCAGGTGAGCAGGCAGCGCCGCGCGCGAGCAACCAGCCCGGCCCCCGCAGACGCCCCAGCCGCCGCCTCCGCCTCCGCCTCCGCCGGCGCATCGCGGACGCCCAGCAGGTCGGTTATGTAACCGCGCCGGCCAGGCTCGCCCCGGCACCCCGTCCCGCCGGGGCTGACAGCAGCGCCCGGGTTGTGCCGGGGGGCCGCGGCAGGGGTCTGGCCAGTGGGGCCGGGTCTGGGGGCTGGGCGGGGGCGGCGGGGTTGGGGGTTTGTTTCCAGATCTGTGGTCTGTCCCGTCAGAGGCCGTGGGGACGGAGATCTCCCGCGACCCCCCTCTAGGGGGCGCGGGTCCCAAGGAGCCCCTTCCCCACTGCCCGTGGCCCGGGGTTCGCCTTCCTGGTAGCAGCAGCAGCAGCAGCAGCAGCAGGTGCAAAAGTGAAGGAGTGAGGGTGACGCCTGTGATCCCCGGGACTGAGGGTCAGGGGGCTAGAAGAGGCTAACTGGATACAGAGAGCAAAGAAGATCGAGAGAGCCCTTCTTCCCAATGCAGAGGCTGGGGAGTGGGTAGGTGCGTTGAGGTGCAGCGGGCTGAGAATTGTCCTGCTTGGGATTAGCGGGCTTGGGTCATCTAAAAATAACTTCAAGTTTGAAAAGTGAAATGGACTGGAGCGCAGTGTGCCGGGTTCGCCCTGCCTGTGGGATGCTTCGCTCCAGAAGTCACCAGAGGGAACAGGCAAATCCCAGCCGCCTGATCCCTCGGCTGCCTCCAGGTCTCGCTGGTTTCCAGGGTGCCTTGGTTGGCCTTATAGTTAATGATTTATTCTTCAAGGCACTTCTGTCTTTTTCTTATATCAAAATCAATTATAGAAGAGTGCATGCTTTAAATCTTTCCTGTTTCTTACAATGAGATAGAGGTGTTCAAAGGACATTTGATGAGTTTGCTGACAAATCATTTTTTTTTTTTTAAGTCTTAGTTTAGTAAACTAAAAAGTTTCTGGGATTCCTTTAATATGCATTCTCACAATTTTTCACAATTGGAGATGAAGAGATGTCACAGCAATCCAGCTCACACTGTTCTCTCCCTTCAGCCAGAATTCCACTTAACTTATACAGAGGGGAGGCTTTAGGAAAAGTAGGGCAACTTTAACAGTGCAACTCAAATTTCACACCTTTATGATCTTTTATTACATCAACTTCAAAACGAAGAACAAATGTCTCATAAGGCACCACACAAGACTTGCTAACTGGCCTTTGCATTCTGGGGCCACAGTGAAGTTGGAAATACCCAGAAGCTGGAAAGGATTAAGAAGCAGGTCAGCATTGACGGTGGAACTAGGCAAGGGAGTGAACATTTGGCTGCTTTTCAGCATACTTATTGATTTTCTTTAGCCTTAGGACTATTATATTAAGTATGATCAGCCATTGAGTTCAATTAGTCTAAAATTGCACTTTGCTTTCAAATCCACTGCAAATCAAATCAGCATTTATTGAGCATCTATTACCTCAGTCCAGTCCATAGAATTTTGTAAGGAAAAAGCGTTCTCTAAAGTTACAGGACTCTAAGAGCTTAGTGTGTGCAGGTCCTGCAGAACCCACCTAAATTTGGGAGGACATGACTCTCTCTCCAGTGATGAACATTTAACAGAAGTGGGAACTTGAGAGCTTTCTCATTTGCAAGTGCACATCACAGTGTTAAAAACCACTTGCATAATCATTTGCAGATAGTCATACATATCATGGATTCTTTTTACTGAGACTAACATTGACAGTCACCGAGTCTCATTTTCCTATTCCTTTTACTTTCTGTAGCATCCACTTGATCTATTCAATAGTTATTTGTTGAGCACCTACTGTGTGCTTTGTAGGTCCTGTGCCAGAGGCTAAAAGAATGAGGCACATGCCTCCCAGAAATCAATCTAGCAAAAAAAGAAGAAAATAAATAATAATGATTCAACATCACGAGTGTTTAATGAAGATAGAAACAAGTTTAGGGGGAGTCAACAGAAGAAAAACTGGAGGGAATCTGCTAGACTCTGAAGAAGAGTTCACATTTAGTCTGGATCCCAATAGGTAGCAGGAGTTGTCTAGGGAACGTGCTGGGTCTTCCACATTGAAGGGACAGCATACATACATGGTAGAAAGGCCACATTCAGAGGACACCTATGTGTTTTGAGGGAAGACAGGAGAGTTTAGAATGGTTTCACTGAGGCTGGTTTGTGAATATACCCTGCTAAGGAGGTGAAACCACGCAACCTTTAATGGTAGAAATGATTTCATCTAGCTTACATTTTACAAAAGTGACTTTGGAGGTGTGAGGAGGTGGGTTGCAAAAAGGGAGATTTTAGACCATTGGAGTGGTACAGGCCAAAACAAAACAAAAACCCCCTAAAACTCATAAAATGAAATGTGCCTGAACCAGATGACCTGGAAGAAAGGGGAGAGATCCATACAGAGCCATTTTACGGGGAGGATCAGTAGCATTGGTCACCAAGTGGATGGTGGTATGGAAGGAGAAGCTTAGATATCTAGAGGATGGTCAGGCTTTTAACTGAATTAGGGAGTAAATGAGAAAAAGCAGATTTGAGAAAGATGGAAATTTTAAATTTTGAATAACAAAATGAAAATGTTCAGTGGGCACTTTTATTTTCGAAGGTAATTTCTTCATTTCTGATGCCAACCTTCTGCTGATCTTATTTCCCTTCATTCCTGAGACTGTGTAGGGCTGCTTTTAGAGAAGAAAGGCAAAAAACAAACAAAACAACAACAAAACAAAACAAAAAAACAATCTCGGCTCACTGCAACCTCCGCCTCCTGGGTTCAAGCGATTCTCTTGCCTTAGCCTCCCGAATAGCTGGGATTACAGGCACATGCCACCATGCACAGCTAATTTTTGTGTTTTTAGTAGAGAGAGGGTTTCACCATGTTGGCCAGGCTGGTCTCAATCTCTTTACCTTGTGATCCGCCCACCTTGGCCTCCCAAAGTGTTGGAATTATAGACATGAGCCACTACACCTGGCCAGGAGAGACAAACTTAATAGCAGAAAGTTGTTTCTACATTTATCCCTAAAAGTGATCGTATGAACTCAGTTATTTGAACTACTACTAGCGGTAACAGTGATAATAATGATAATGATAATATCTAAGATTTATTCAGTGTTTACTACGTGCTGAGCACAAAGAAGTTAGAACTATATATGGTTTATCACATCTCATCTTCCCACTAGCCTTATGAGGCAGGCACTGTTGTTATTCTCAGATGACTAACAAGAAAACCAAGGCAAAGAGAGGATACCTTGAGCAGGTCACACCGTTTGTAAGATGTGCACCCAGAATTGAAGCTCAGGCTCTGACCAGCATTCTGAATTGCCAGTGTGAATTAATAGCATTAAAATATTTTTTTTTTAATCCTGGAATGTGTTTTTTGCCCTAGGTTTAGATATTTGTGGCTGACACCACAAAATAGAACTAGACTGAGTCAGGAGTCCTGGCTTTTGAGTGGGCTCTATACCTTATTTGCTGTGTGATGTTTGCAAAGGCACAACCCATCTCAGGCTTCCGTTATTTTAAATCAGTATTTTCTTGGAACAAGAGGTTGGTTAGATGCTCTCTAAGGAGTCATGACATTCTGAAGTCTTGCTGTTTGCTTTTCAAATTCTACTACTAGAACCATTGGTTCAGGTTACGATTGTACCTATCTGGTCACTTGGAGGATAGAACTACCTCAAAGAGGATTAACACAAATGGTGGCTTCTCCTTAAAGCTTGGTATGAACTGATCCATCTTACAGAGCTAATAGGAGTGCTTGAGGTTGGGGAAACATGGTTCTGGAAGGGGAACCCTGCATGGGCACTAAAATAGAGGAATCTTCATGGTCACTTACCGCTTTCTTTTCTTTAGAGAAGTTACTTTAACTCTACCAGAGTTTCTTCATTTCTGAGAAACTGGGACAATTAATGTACATATTATAAGATTATTGTGAGGATTGAAACAGGTACTCTAAACCAGGTCCCACATACAAGTTGGTCTCAGTGAAGGTGCTCAGGAAATGGAGGTCCTCACCCCTTGTCCTCAGCGTAACTGGCGTGTAGAAAGGGAAAAGGAGAGAGTTTCTGAAGACGGTTTCCTGCTTCTTAGTTTTGATAGGGGCCACCTCTTAGTTGAGTTTCATCTGTTCATCTAAGAAAGAAATGTATATAGGTAGTATAAAAACACACAGCACATTAAATGCCTTTCCAAATGTGCGTCTCTCAAGTATTCATTAATAGATTACCTTCTTAGACATGAAGTGTCAACATTCCACAATACAGTTTTTAATTCTTCTTTTGCCAGTTTGTAAGGAGACCAGTATTGCTGTAAATAAAGAAATATTGCCTAGGGTTGGTCATACTGGATTCTATTATTATAGCATAGAATAGAAAGGGGACAGAATGATTTTCTGTTCTGTGTGTGTCTGTGCACAGACACGTGCTTTGTCTTCCTGAAGGGTTTTTTGCCTCTGCCTATAAAACGTTCACTGTCCTTGTGTCTTTTTGCTTGTTACCAACTCCAGGTGTCATATATTGTAAATTAAATTAATTAGTTAAGGAATATTTTTTAAATATGGAAGCAGATTTAAATTCAATGGAAACTTCTAAAATCCCTTAAAAAATGATAAAGCAAGTGACCATGAATGGTACTTTCTAGAAGTTAAAGAAATGCTTCCAAATACAGCACAGAAACTCCCTGCCCTTCAGAATACCCACAGAAAACATTTTTTACAGTATGAATGGAAACAGCCTTATTTTCATATCTGATCTTCTATACTCAACTTACTCTAAGACAAGAAATGAAACTTTAGGATCCTAAGCTTTGGAATGTCTGCATAAAAAGACATTGTAATGGTGGCTATTGGACCAAAAAATGTGTTATTTTAGATCTAGGTCCTAGATTTTGTTACTGTTACCTTAGTTCTTTGTGGGAATAATTGTTTTATTGTTTCATATCATTGAAATTTGCCTGGTCCAAAATATTATAATTTCTTTGAAGCCACGGGCCATGCCTTAATATTTCTCATACAGTGTTGGGAATGAAGTATAAAAAGCATGGACTTGGCATGAAAAGGTCTGGATCTCAATCCT